ACCAAAGAAATAACTGTTCGCATTAACTGTTCAAAATTTATAAAAGTTTATAAATTTGTCACAATCAAATGAGCGGAGAGACTCTTATAATTTACTAACGTGATAGTTAGCAAGCAGATATACAGTTGACAAAATTGATCCAAGGCGCTTTCACTTTGTAAGATATAAATTTCTAGGAACATTATACGAACTTAGAAGAATAAGTTTGCATAAACTTATCTATATATATAAATATATATAAATTACTATATATAAATATATACAATATAACATATAATATATATAAATAAATATATATAAGTATATATAAATACATATAGATATATATATATATAAATTACATGATTTATGAAAAAGAGAAAATGATAAGGAGAATATATTTTTTGTAGTCTCAGTGAATTTAATAAGAATCTCAAGATCTCTTCTCGCAGGAGAGAGGAATTAAAAAAATCCGATATCTCTCGGACATATCTTCCGAGATATCGTACAGATACGTGGTGGATTGCGCGGGCGTGAGTACAAGAGGAACGTATTCAAAGGGAAATTATCATTCTGCTAAGTCACGGATACTTGGCTATGGCTGTATAACACGAGGGAAGTCGTGCACTAGAGGCAATAGAGGCCGCGTTCGTTCTAAAAGTCCGGCATAGAAATCTCTCGCTCTCTCCCGGTGCTCGCGAATGCATATATACAGCCAGCCACCGGCGACTATGCAGCGACGACGATGCAACGAGAGAGCTGCATCTGCGAAATCTCCTCTTTCCTCCTTGCAAATATCGAATCATGACGTTAGAAGCGAGAAATCGCATTAATTTCCTTATTGCATCTTTATGCGTCAAGATTAATTGGCTTGTTTTGTATGTCACTACTCGCGATAAAATATCAAACTTTCCGGGAAACAATTTTTTATATATAACAATATAAAATTATGTAGAAGTATATAAAATTATACATATAATCGCAAAATTATATATGAAATATGTCCATATATGATTAGATAAAAGTGCTTTTTATATATAATTATATAAATTTATATATATATATATATATATGTATATATATAAATAATTAATAAGTATTTCTTCGTATATATAAATATATGTTTTATAATTTTTCGTTTGACATGATAATATATGAACCCTTATAATTTATATATAAATTTATATAATTATGTATAAAAACAAACATATTTCACATATAATTTTACGATTATATGTATTATTATACAATTATTTATATATAATTATAAATAAAAAAATTTTTCCCGGATTATTTTGATTTAATAAATAATTGTAAATCTTGATCGTCTTGTCATTAACAAGGTTTGTTCTCATTGAAAATATAAAACGCACAAACTAAATTATTGTATAAATTATATAATAAAAAAGCAAATTTTAGATATATTTTATACCAATCTACGTTGTCGCACGCGAATGTAATGACATGTACGAAGGAATTAATTAAATACACGAAACGAGCGCGCTCTTACGTGCAAATTGAACATCTCAACTGGCGAGGAACGCCTTTTCCTGAGACGCTAGACGTTAATCCTCGTCGCGTATCCAGCTTAATTAATAACCGCACTAATACGGAGTCGTCGGCCTAGAAGTATAACGTGGAGTCATTCCCACGTTGAAATGCGAGCGCGAGCGCGTTTTACGACAATAATGAGGGCCTCGACAATGAGCTATGAAGTGAAAAAAAAATGAGAGAAGGGACGGGCACGGATAATTTTTCGTTCGACGATGCCATTGTATGACGCGTAACTACGGAATACGAGAGAATAAAGCGAATCTAGAGCGCGGTTCTCGCCCTCGCGTTGACATTTATGGAAGATAAATGATGCTTAGAGAAACGTGCACGTATGTGCGTATTTATATAGAGCGTCTCTTAAAATGTGAAACTTGCACTAATTTTAATGATAAATGCTTTGTTGATTTTAATATTCATATTAAATATTTGAATATTAATATTAATATTTTAATTTAATTTGTATTAATATTAATAATTTTAATTTAATTTAATATTAATATTAATATTATATTAAAATATTTAATATAAATATATTAATTCAATAATATTCCAAAGCATTAAATTTTATTAAAAATTTTTCGCGAGCTTTTAAATATTAGAAGATAGGAACAAAAATATTGTATTATATTTTTTTATATTTGGAGAAAAAGGTGTTAAAGTTAAAATGAAACAAAGATTCTTACATATAAAATCCAGTATTATCTGTGTGTTCATGCATAAATATAATTATAATTCTAATGTTTCAAGCATTATAACATATGTATCTATTTTCAGTATTTGTACAACGTGACGGGAGGTTTAATAAGCCGGCTTATTTTCATACAACGCAGACCTTCGTGTAAAGTGAAATCGGAACAGAATGATTAAAGGCGTAATCGTGTTTTCACTTTATGCCATCAGTGTCGCGAGGCACGAATTAAAAACTTGTTATAAGTGCGATCGGGGAGATGATCAGACAATTGTATGAGATATATTTTGTCAAGTTTAGACAATTAATAAGTGTATAATCAAAACGGAGAGGAGAACAGCGCAATAAGGCTAGACGTGAGAGGCGCTCGAAATGAGAAACGCTGAATGACATAAACAATTTATCGGTATAAAAACACCTCTACCCGGTAATTTCAATAAAATCACTCTCGATAAACCCCACATTGCGCGGAACGGCCACTTTGCAGAATGCAGGAAAGAAGTTTCACTTCTTCAACGTCGCACGAAATATCGAGAGGGAACAGCTCGACATCTTGATATAATATAATAAAAGCCGGGGAATCGCACGACGCTCCGAGCCGAATATCATTAAAGTCGTGTCGCGTAATGATATTCAACGATCTTCGCGAGGTCTCCTCACGAGTGGTTCACGTGGTCGAGAACTTTCCAGGCTCGTGGCTGGAATATGAATAAGACGGACACCGTTCAAAAATCGGCTCGTCGCGAATCCGAGTCGGCCATGACCTCGAAAAAAAACCAAAAGAAAAATCAGGCCGAGATCCGTTGCTTTCCTGTCGTTTGCGATAGTAATGAATAGCGAGCGAGGACTACGAGATCTCTGCGCGTATTTTATCTCCTGGTACGAATCTATCTTACGAGAAGGCACGATGGAGCGTGACTTCCATCTCGATCTCACGCGAGTCAGAAGTGAAAACACGATTAGCGTATGAACAATTCCCATTGTTTTCATGACCACGCGTTAGAGATCATTATTCCACAATACTCGTGTTCAATCATTTATTTTATTCTAAAATTAGTCTAACTTTAAGTCAGCCATACAAGGCTGATATTTTGAATAAATATTAATACATACAAAATTATATATGTTTCAATATCATATAATTATTTTCGTTCGCAATTTTGTTGCTAAGATTAAACAATCCATTCTTTATGCATTTTATTATAATTTTTTTTTTACAAATTTGAGAAAGAATATAATAGAGTGAGAGATTATTTTGTTGAATGCTTTTCAAACTGCTGATTACGTTCGCTTATTTATTTATTTCTTATTTAAGAATAAAATTCTAATGATTATTCGTGTTTGTTAATTAGTGTTTGATAATTATTCCAATATATACTCGTGTTCAATCATTTATTTTATTCTAAAATTAGTCTAACTTTAAATCAGCCATACAAGGCTGATATTTTGAATAAATATAATATTAATAAACAATTATATATGTTTTAATATTACATAATTATTTTTGTTCGCAATTTTGTTGCTAAAAATTAAACAATCCATCCTTTATACATTTTCATTATGATCTTTTTTTACAAATTTGAGAAAGAATATAATTGAGAGAGTGAGAGATTATTTTGTTAAATGCTTTTCAGACTGCTGATTACGTTCGCTTATTTATTTATTTTTTTTATTTAAGAATAAAATTCTAACGATTATTCGTGTTTGTCTGACAATTCTTTGAATGACATGTTGCTTTCGCCATTTAACATTCCTCGAATGCCAATGAAAATTGCTTCATATTGAATAAGATCTATGTCACAATTATGTAATAATATAAAAATTACAAAATAAAATGTGATATGTGTGAAATAAGTTAAAGCTAGAAAAAATATAATAAATAATAATAAATATAATTAAACCTACTTATGAATTTATGATAAAAGAATATAAATAAATATGAAAAATATAGAAATATAAAAAATCTTAAATAATATCTTATAAATATTGAATAGTGAAAAATAAAAGTTTGCAATTAATTCATTAGACTCTTATGCCGTTAAGCATTCATTTTCTCTGTAAAGAATTTAATTGTTAATTCTTATTATTGTAAAACACGTTCCCTCGCGTAATTAATTGTCTCTGAACTTCAAATAACTTTCGCCATTTCCTCTGTCAGGCATTGTAAATACTGACGAACAAATGTACACATTATTCAATATTACTCTCTCCTCGAAGCGCGATGCAGATGTGAATAATACTTGCGACTAGAGAACCGTATCTCGGGTCTTTAACCTTATCGTGCGTGAATAGCTATACAACAAGGAGAAGAGAAATACATAGAGTTGAGCAAAAGTTTTCCAAGTGCGTCGACGAGCAATAGAAATAAGGCACGAAAATAAATTACAGAAGTTATTTACAGCAAATAAATTTTATTTATTACCTTTTTTTTTAAATGAGTGCTACTGCATAATACAAAAAATATTGCATTTAAAATAATGATTAAATACTGTCTTCCATTATTATATTTTATAGCTGTTATATTCATACTTAGACAAAGCAATATAAAATTAATTAATTTTTTTTTGCGTATAAATCAAAATTATAGTAATTATCTATTTAATAAAAGACAATTTATAAGATTTATTTATGAGTTTTTTTATGATAGATTTTTATGCGGGTTTTTTTAGATTCAATTGAAAGCGATATACGGCAGCAACGAGCCGAGTGCATTAAACCCATTACATTCTCATTGTATTTACCTGCTGTTGCGTTATCTTCACCTTCACTTTCTTTCCAGGCGTCGAACAGCAGAATTACCTGGAGGCTGCTGCTCGTCTGCTTCGCGGTGCTGCTTCTAGGCCTCCTACAGCATGCCGAAGGTAATCTATAATTTCTGTATCCGTTAATTTCCAACGGTATCGGAAATCTATTGCGAACGATTGCGCTCAGAAAATCGTGACGATTAAATCTGCCAGCCACAGGCTAGCAATTCGAATCTATATACCTTGAAACGAATAAGGGATTCATTAGAGCTCTACTAATGATTCCATTATCGATTAGTTATATCGATGATTGATCGGTAACGTAATCGATCGGTGCGTTGTTTCACAGCGCGGCATTACGTCAGAGAGTCTTTATAATTCCGAACGGTATATATAACGATTTACAATTTCTCCACCGTCGATTACATAAATTTTTTTACCGATCCGCGATACGATGGCGCAGGTGTCGGTGCCGATTTTTAGGTGTCTCCTCCGCGTGCGAGCGCATTTCCGGTTTCACAAACTCGTATTATATAATGTTCCGAAAAAAGTCGGAAAAAAGGGCCGCCCCTCTCGTCACGATATTGCGTGACATATGCAAAATCGTGCTTGGCCCCAGAATATAATCGGTTCTAACGGGTGAAAGGCACTTGCCTTTCCAAGTTTCGTGCCTTATGTATACGCGCGCGAGATCTTACGCAACGTTGAAACGCATATTCGTGTGCGAGAGTTGCATAATCGCCGAAGGAAGAATCGGAGCGAATTTTGCGTAATTATCCGGCGATTGTGTCTGCATGCATATATGTATATATACATATATATATATATATACATATGTATTTGCCAGGCGCGAGAAAGAGATTCCGCAGACCGACGACTTCCGCCCCGTCGATCTCGAACGATCAGGAGGTCTCAGCCAGTGTCAACAGGTTCAAGGTCACGCGAAATCGTGTCAGCAACAAGAACACGAAGAACGAGCTGCAACCCGGCAAGACGAACGATTACAAGGTACGTTTCGTTAAGTATCGATATGTTAACGATAACGAGATGTTAAAGGGAATGCACGAATCGTTTACAGCGAACAGCTGTTTTTATATTGTCCGTTTTCATTTCTGCTTGTTTCAAAAATTAAAATAAGTTGTTCAACTCAAGTCGACGCCCGCCGCGATTCTGTAAAAAAAAAAAAATGGCCAATTGTTATCTATATATAATTATACTGTGTTATTATGTAATTAAATTATATAGTCGTTTGGTATAAGTATTTCAAAATAGAAATCAGTACAGCTACGTTTTATGTATGTGTGTGTATAATTCTAGTATAATAATTTGATATTATCTCCGTCCACAGCTGGTGTGTTATTACACCAATTGGTCTCAGTATCGCACAAAGATCGGCAAGTTCCTGCCGGAGGACATTCAACCTGATCTCTGCACCCACGTAATTTTCGCCTTCGGGTGGCTGAAGAAGAACAAACTGACTAGTTTCGAATCGAATGACGAAACGAAGGACGGCAAGATCGGCCTGTACGAAAGGGTAGTGAATCTTAAAAAGGCTAATCCATCCCTGAAGGTCCTGCTCGCGATCGGTGAGTTTGTTTTGCTTCCATTCGTATTATCTTGTCGAAAATTGTGGATTTTGAGGAAGAAGAGTGAAGCTATACTTATTATTGAATGTAGCCACAGCGTTTGATATTATTCCTTAATAATTTTTAACGATATTTAAAATAATATGCAAAATACGTGTAAAACCTGTCGGATAAAACTGCAAGTTTTTCTCTTTCTCTTTCAGGCGGTTGGTCCTTTGGCACGCAGAAGTTCAAGGACGTGTCCTCGACGAGATATGCCCGACAGACCTTCATCTACAGTGCTATACCATACTTGCGAGACAGAAACTTCGACGGCCTTGACATCGACTGGGAATATCCAAAGGGTGGGGAAGACAAGAAGAATTACGTTCTGTTGCTGAAGGGTAAAGACTCGCCTGGAAAAGGGCAATAATAACAATATTCACTTGCAAATTTTTCGAGACTGGAAATGTCAGATACATGCGTACGGCGTTCAATCTTGATAACGCGATTATATTGCCTATTGTTTTATTCCTCAGAATTACACGAGTTGAACATGACACGTGGAATCGTTTGACATTTCCAATCTTATCGTCGCATAACACATTTTTTGCATAATGCACGATTTGAATTAATTTTTCATAATTATTTCCTCGCTTCAGAGCTCCGGGAAGCTTTTGAAGCGGAGGCACAAGAGAGGAAGAAACCCCGTCTTCTGTTAACCGCCGCTGTACCAGTCGGACCTGACAATGTCAAGAGTGGATATGACGTGCCTGCTGTTGCCAGGTAGAATGATTAATAATTAATTAAACAGTGTTCCGATAATAATGTAGGATAAATTAAAATGCAAAATTATATGGCATACATACGAGCGTAAAATAATCCTTATAATGAATAAGAAAAACACACAATAATTTTATGCGATATCGAAGTTAATTAGCCATCAAGTTTGTGTAAATAATATTTTTTATTTAACCTCATTCTTCGCAAGAGAATTTTTTGTAGAATTCTGAAAGACATTCTTGTGAATCACTCATTCATCTGCATTTATCATATCTCGATCGCGATGTGTAGAAGTGTATTATTTAATAAAGTGCATTTTTTTTATTTGCTTAGTTATTTAGATTTATTAATCTCATGGCCTACGACTTTCATGGCAAATGGGAGAGAGAAACCGGTCATAACGCTCCTTTGTACGCCTCGTCATTGGATTCGGAATGGCAGAAGCAATTGAGCGTTGATAATGCAGCCACGATGTGGGTTAAACTAGGTGCACCGAAGGAAAAATTGATTATAGGCATGCCTACGTACGGCCGGTCCTTTACTCTTTCAAATCCAGCAAACTTCCGCGTACATTCAGCAGCTAGTGGTGGCGGAAAAGCAGGAGAATATACCAAGGAGTCAGGTTTTCTCGCGTATTACGAGGTACTTTCTCGTTTTATGTTTATAGTACAAATGATTTTTAAATCGCGATTTTCAAATTTATAATTAAAATTTTCTTTAATCTTGAATAAACATGACAAAATAAATTGTAATATTTAAATATACAATATAAATTGTATATTTCATAAAACACAAAATGATGAAAATTGAATTATATCTGTAAATAAGAGAAACTCATTCCGCAATTTCAGATCTGTGAAATGCTACACAATGGCGCCGGCTACGTTTGGGATGACGAGATGAAGGTACCCTACCTGGTGCACAATGACCAATGGGTCGGTTTCGACGACGAGAAGTCTATCAGGAATAAAATGCAGTGGCTGAAGAGCAAGGGTTACGGAGGTGCCATGGTGTGGACAATCGACATGGACGACTTCAATGGCACCGTTTGCGGTGGAAATGTTCGATACCCTTTGATCGGCGCGATGAGGGAGGAACTCAGGGGTGTTTCGCGCGGTTCCAACGCGAAAGACATCGACTGGAGCGCGGTTGCCTCCACTATCACGGAGACGATCGTGAAGAAACCGGAAGCTTACAAGATTTCTGTTTCGGAAGTCCTTAACAAGAAGAAGCTTCAGAAAGCTACGACACTCGTCATTAATACTCCAACTCACGGTATATCAATTCTGTTCAGAATTTGTATGTATAATGGTAACAAAATTAGAGTTAGGTCTCATACAGCGCAACAAAATTGCAGCAGCATTGTGGCAACATTTCATTGCAATATTACAACATTGCATAAACATTGTGAAATGTTGTAGCAGTCTTGCTGCAAGGTTGCAGCAACGGTAAAATGTCCGCTTTCAGAAATATTGTTCTATAACATTGCAGCAATAATGCAATATATATGTCATATTACTATTGGATTATTGGAAATGTGCCAAATACATGATCGGACTGAATGTCCTGTACCTAATATTTTTTGCGTGAATTTTATTTTTATAATATTTCTGAAATGTTGCTGCAACGTTGTTTAAACTATATTGCAAATTCATGCATATATATAATATTTCTGCATTATTGCTATGCAATGCACAATATTGCGATGTTGTTGCAATATTGCTGCAAACTTGTGTGCTGTATGGGGTTTATCATATGTTTTACGTAAAACATTTCGTAAGCGCATGTATATATTTTCTTAGTGTTTAAAATAATAATTAAAAGTTCTGCTACGATAATTTTTACGATCGGAAATTAATTGCGCGTCCTAGTGAAAGTTTTCTTACGCATTGGCAGAGAGAGAGGCTCAAACTATTTGTTACCTGACAAATTGGTCACACAAAAGGCCAGGTATGGGACGATTCAGTCCGGAGGACATCGATCCGACTCTTTGCACGCACGTGATATACGCGTTTGCAACTCTGAAAGATCATTTACTTACCGAAGGAAGCGATAAAGACGCTGAAATGTACCAACGATTAATCGCACTCCGCGAGAAGAATCCAGACATTAAGGTATTTGTCCCAAATTTTTACAAATTATATTTCATATTTTTTCATATTATTTTATTGTATTATAGTATTATTTTAAATACGAAATCTCACCGAAGAAAGCTGTTTCGTGAAAGTTATTCCAGTTACAAAAATTTCAACTCATTTCTCGATCTTTTAACTTTCGCAACATTCTACAAAGAGACAAACAAGAAAATTATAAAATGATTAAAAAATAAGTGATAAGATATAAATGATTAAAAAACAATTAATCAAACAAGCACAAGAATCGAATATAATATTCAAACAAGCAGATTGCTGCAATTAAATCACTCGTACTTTATAATATTTTCAGATTCTTCTTGCGATCGGAGGATGGGCATTCGGCTCGACTCCTTTTAAGGAACTTACCAGTAATACATTCCGAATGAATCAATTCGTCTATGAGGCTATCGATTTCTTGCGAGAATATAAATTTGACGGATTGGATGTTGACTGGGAATATCCAAGGTTTTTTTTCTAACTTGTATTTTTTACTTTATCAAGAATATATATTATAATCTTTTAAAATTTTTATAGAGGAGCCGACGACCGGGCGGCCTACGTTAATCTTTTAAAGGAGTTAAGACTGGCTTTCGAGGGCGAAGCAAAAAGCTCCGATCAACCGAAATTGATCCTGTCAGCCGCAGTGCCCGCAAGTTTCGAAGCCATTGCTGCAGGGTAAATAAACTATTTAAATTTGTTATTTTGTACAAATTAAAAGTAGTATATTATTGTAATTTTATAAATTAATATATAAAAATTCTTAACTTATAACGACGAGTAAAATTTTTCTTTTTTAGATACGATGTTCCTGAAATATCGAAGTACCTAGATTTTATCAATGTAATGGCATATGATTTCCATGGTCAATGGGAGAGACAGGTTGGCCACAACAGTCCGTTATATCCTTTAGAAAGCGCTACCAGTTATCAGAAAAAGCTGACAGTGGTAAGTACGTAAATATCATGTATTTATGAATAATATGCACGTGTTAAAAAATGTCCTCTTAATTTGTGTTATTATACTTTTCTTATTTCGCTTATTTCATTATTTCAGGATTATAGTGCACGAGAATGGGTGAAACAAGGAGCTCCGAAGGAAAAGCTCATGATAGGAATGCCCACGTACGGTAGGTCCTTTACGCTGGTCGACAAAGACAAGTTCGATATTGGTGCACCAGCATCTGGTGGCGGATTGGCTGGAAATTTCACCAACGAATCTGGATTCTTGTCCTATTATGAGGTTTGCTCAATATCATTTTTTCATTTTGCTTAATCATGTTTCTACATCGTCTTTATTCTTCCTTTGAAAAAGCAAAATGTAATTAAAAGTATATTAAAATATTTATTAAATATCAATCCATTCAAAGAATTCTTAATTTTTAAGAATTTTATATTAAAAATGTATGTCTTATTTTCTATAAATTTTAAAATATCTTAATTGCGCTTGTCTGAATAAATATTTTGTAAATAGGTCTGTAGCTTCTTAAACGAAGATAATACGACTCTGGTATGGGATAGTGAGCAACAAGTACCATTTGCGTACAGAGATGATCAGTGGGTTGGATTTGACGACGAAAGAAGTCTTATAAATAAGGTACGTGACCATATTTTAATATTAATTATCCACACTTTTTTATTCATGCATACGTTTCTTAAACATTACATTTTTACAGATGGCTTGGCTTAAGGAAGAAGGCTTCGGAGGCGTCATGATCTGGTCAGTTGATATGGACGACTTCAGAGGATCTTGTGGAGCAGGAAGGTATCCGCTGATCAAGACAATGAAGAAGGAACTGCAGAGCTACAAAGTCAAGCTAGAGTACGACGGTCCTTATGAAAGTACCTCGAGAAGTGGAAAATATACTACTAAGGATCGTAAGTAAATTTTGATATAAAACAAATAATATTTTTCTTGCAAAGGTATAACATTACAAAAGATATTAAATCACTAAATCGATAAAAAGTGTGTGAAAGAGCTACAAAATGAGATAGAGAAAGAGATTAAGATTTGTTTACGTTAAAATAAATTTTGCAGCGAATGAGGTACTGTGTGACGAGGAAGACAATCATATATCTTATCATGCGGATAAGAATGATTGCACGATGTATTATATGTGTGAGGGCGAACGCAAGCATCACATGCCTTGCCCAGTGAATCTGGTCTTCAATCCCAATGAGAACGTTTGCGATTGGCCGGAAAATGTCGAGGGTTGTTTGCAGCATACGCAGGCGCCACCCGTTTAAAAGCGAGAAACATAATAAAGAGTAAATAAAATTTGTAAAATAAAAAAAAACGACGAAAATCTCTAGGGAAAATAATATTATCAAAAGTATTCATTATTATAATTCGTAAGTATAACGAGACAGGTATAATTGTACCATCGCGCAACGGTTAACAGAATTTCTCTCTCTTTTCACGAATTTCTTATTTCATTATTATATATCTTATAATTACAAGTACCTTAATTACTTTTAAGAATATTTTTCCATTCTCGTCTATCTCTACCTTCGCCATCTGTATAAAGCACAAACGAAATCATGTGACAATTATGTTTGTAAATAAAGATTTCTCGAAATATTATAAGCAGAAACAATAATCATTTTCTCTCTTATCTTTTGCTTTTAATAAAAAAAGCATCCTGCTGTCTTTCGGTGTCGTGAAAAAAATAGCGAGAAATATTTTTCGTAATTATTCAATTTTATTTTTTATCGATAATCTCTTACATAAAAAATCACATTAAACTTTGAAAGGGTAGGCCCAAGAATGATTCGTCGTAATATAAACTCGCCATTAATTGGCAATGAAAACGAAAATGAAGAACTCGATGAAGGCCAGCCAAGCTGTCGCCAGTCGTTCGTAATTTCCGGAACTGAGGGCGGAAGCTTGGCAAGCGGTATGCGGAGTTCCTAAAGTCAACAGGACCTTGTCGGAAGAGTAAGACGGAGTTGTTTCGGTACATACAGCTCGACCTGCTATGGTCCTCAGTTGTCTGGCATCGGACTGCGATGCTGTGTGAATCTGTCGGGATTCTCTGAGCCATCTGCGCAACCATAAACTCAGCCACGCAATCTCGCAGTCGCATTCGAGCGGATTCCCGGATACCTGAAGTCCACCTGAAAAAGCAAGTATTTATTACATACACACACACACATATATATATATATATATATATATATATATCGAGTATTTTAATCATTTTATGTTACTTTAAACTTCAAATTAATAATTTCTAATTTTTTTTAAATTTTATTGCTCTTTTATGTTTTTTATTATAAACTTACCAGCTACCATGTTAGTCCCAACAGTCTCCCAAGAAAGATTTCCGTAAATTATCGACGGACTCAATTCATTGATATGATTGTTCCTCAGGTCCAGCGTAAGCTGCGACAATCTTTTCGTCAACGATAGAAAAATATCCGATTGAAGCCTTTGAACGTGCGTGTCTTTGATTCTCAATATTAATTCTCCGCCTTCGATAGTGGAGAACGCTTCGGAAGAGATCAACTCAAGATCATTTCCGGTGATCGTCAACTCTCTCAAATGTTTCGTAAAGACATTTTGTATTTGATGTCTCAGCAAATGTTCCGTCACCTGAATCTCGACCGTTCGAAGAGGTAGACCGGATAACAAGTGGCGCAGATGGAACCCGTCGGCTTGTGGCCACGTTTGAATTCGCAGATGCTTCAAGTACTTCAAAGGTCGAAGACAATCCTTGTCCACTAATCTGGTTCGATTTAAATTCTTCAAGTTTAATTTTTCTAGCCTCGGATAACCTAAGAAGCTATCCTTCGTCAATTCCTGCAAAAATATTATTTCTTTTGTGTTCTAAATTTTTATGCTTTTTTATATTTTATTTTATTGAATTTTACCTCGATAGGATTCCCAGATACGTCGAGCTCCCTCAACAAATTCAATCTAACGCCGGGCATTAATGTCAACGAGTTATTTACCAGCAAAAGAATCTTTAAACCCTCCAGGTATTGAAATTGCTTGTCGACGGTTTCGTCAACATTGTTGAAGGATAAATCTAAGATATTTAAATTCGTCAATGGCAGTAACGGTATGCTCCTAAGGCCACAATTAGCCATGTAAAGCTGTCTAAGATTTGGCAAGTAATGGAACAGCTCTTTAAAGTTTGCCTGAAGAATATTCTGAGACACGTTCAAGCTGAGTAATGTTCCCAAGGAGACGAATGAATTATCTGGCAGTATAGTTAAACGATTTTGCGCGAGATTCAGGGATACTAGATGAGAAGTTGGAAAAGCGGTCGAGTCAAGGTGATCCAGAAAATTTTCCGCCATATTGAGATCTCTCAGAGTGTAGGCGACTTCTAAGAATGACGGCGATGGTACGACGGTGAATTTATTATGACTGAGATCGAGGATCTCCAATTTAGTACCCTCGAAAACGTCTCGGGGTAACGATCGAATCTTGTTGCTCGAGAGATTTAGGATCCTCAAACTTTTCAGGTTTCTAAATTGCTCGGTCGACAATTGGACGATTTCGTTTCCGCCGAGATCCAGCCGCTGAAGAGATTCTAAACCGTGGAAGGATTGCTTGCGCAATGTGTCTATTTTATTGTCGCTTAGATCTAGGATTTCCAAATGAGGAAACGCAAATGTTCCTGAAACAGTAGAATTGTTAAAGAAATTTATTATCTTAGTATATTCAATGAAAAATGTTAAGAATAAGACTTTTTGAAAAAAAATATATATTGTTTTGATTTTTCGTTACCTGAATCAATTGTTGTGAGGAAATTGCTCCGCAGATTTAAGCTTTTTAAATCGGGCGTTCCGTAGAACGTATCCGCTGATAAATGGCTGATATTGTTGAATCCAAGATCCAATCTGGTGAGATTGTTCATCGTGGATCCCGAATCGACGTACGCGATTGCGTTATAGGAAACATTTAGAGCAAAGTCGGGACCACCGATTTCCGCGATGGCGGCCAAATCCAGCACGGTCAGCTTGTTGAACTCCAGGTGAAGGAAACGCAAGCTGGACAAACCGTACAGGGCATTTCTCTCCATCTTCTGTATTCTGTTGTAAGCTAAGGATATGGTAACCAGTTTCGGACAATCCATGATAGAGCCGGATGCCAAGACTTTTATTCGATTTCCGGTCAGATCGAGGGATAGCAGCTCGGTCAGGTTATGGAAACTTGATTCTGGAATCGCTTCCAAGAAATTGTATCCTAGTTTGACGTCTCTCAATTCCGGATGTACGCTAGAGAGGAATATCCTCTCGGGCAAGTAATGCAGCCTGTTCGATTCCATGTTAATATAACGTAGTTGTTGGAAAGAGTAAAAGGCAGTTGCTTCGATCGTCTGGAAATTGTTGTTATCTAACACCAGCCAACGAAGATTCGAGAGTGGTCTGAGCGCACGCTGAGGAAAAACATCTGTAGCAAAGGCGAAGCTCAACTCGAGAATGTCCAGGCTGTCCTCCATACCAACGAAGCAGTCATCATCGAGTTCCGTCAAGTGATTGAAGGATAAGCTAAGCTCCTTTAATTTGCCTAAAAAATAATATTCCATTAAAGAGATATATATATATATATATATATATATATATATATAATTAAGATATTTCTATAAATAGTTTTATATTGTTTTCTTTCATTAGATAATAAAAGAAAGAGAAATACAATTATAATTAAATTTAGGAATATTTTAGCAAGCGAGTATATAAATAGCAAGTATATAAGTTAATCTGAATTGATGACTGTGATGTATAAATACATGTGTATCGATTTTATTTCGAGTAATGTACTTTCGCAACCGATTTACGGACAACGCACCGGCTCCCTTGAAGGTCTCAGCTTTCAGTTTCGTCAAGATATTGTTCCTGAGCAATAGGATCTCAAGGTCCTCGGCCCACTCGAAATCACCTGACTCTACGTGGGAGATCTTGTTATAACCGAGATTCAGGTGCAGTAGCCTCTGGCATCTGTTTCGAAGATTGATCATCAAATACATTGCATCAAACTTTCTTCCCGCCATTAGGATCTTCTATTATTAACTCATATCCTAAGCTACGTAATTTATTTTGACCTTTATACTTTATTATATAACTGTTTGTTACATAAATAATATAACATTAATTTGATGTATATATTGAAGTCGCTAGTAATAGAAAAATGAGAAAAAATTATATAAAACGACCAAGACTGGACAAATAATAATTAAATAATAATTAAATAAAAATTGAATAATAATTAAACGTCATCATTTAAATCAATAAATAATTATTATTTGTCCAGTCTTGGTCGTTTTTTATCATTTTTTCTCACTAATAATAAATATAATAATCAATTGGCTACTTGTGTTTACGTTTAACTCTTATATTGAATATTTTTTATTTGTATAATATTATACATTTTTGCATGTTTTATTATGTTGACTTGAATTTATAATGAACTTAATGAAAAATTGATTTAATGAAGGATATTTTTATATTACTAAAAATGCATTAATCAACATTTTTATTTGTCATATATTATTTTAAAGATTATATAAATCGATAACGCTTATATTTTCTTTGCAGGAATATAAATGTACTATTTTCAATAATTATATAATATTATTGAAAAATGTTGTTTTTTACATATACTTGATTCCAAATCAATTCTTGTGGAAATTAATTTTTTTAAATTATCAAAACTTGTGTATGATCTAATCAATTTTATGTTACAATGTTAGGAATACCTGGACAAAGCAGCCACGGGTACTGCATCCAGATTGTTAGTCGCAAGAGAGAGGGCCTTCAGATGCTCTGCAAATTCTTGAAAAGCCTCACCGGAAATATTTCTAATCTCGTTGTTAGCCAAGTAAAGATACGACAATGCTCTCAATCGACTGACAGCGCTCGGTACCGCCGGCAAATCGTTGTTCTCGAGATTCAAATATTCGACAATATCTTCCAGACCATGAAAGGCATCGCTATCGACATTTCTGATACTGTTTGACGACAAGTGGATCCTTCTCGTTTCGAGATGATTGAACATTTTGCCGGGCAATGAGGTCAATTTGTTTCCCGCGAGATTAAAGTCCCTCACCTTCAAAGTACGATTGCTCAAGGTGGGTGTCTTTATCTTTTCGATGGAATTCTCGCTAACGTCGATCAATTCCAAACCGGAGTTACGGAAATCCGGGAATTCCAGATACTTGAGATCGTTTCCTCTCATATAAAGCCAAGTAAGTTCTTTCAAATCCCCTAAAGATTGTGGGAATTCCTTCAAGAGATTATTGTTAATGCTTAAGGTATGTATATTCGGTGGCAAACAATCCTTGGAGAGCGTCTCGATGTTATTGCTGTCTAGATTCAACCATACCAGTGTGGTGAAACTCGAAAAGATTCTAGGTACTTCAGTGATAGAGTTATCCCCGAAGAATGCGTTCGTCAAGGTGTCCTTAGTGCGGCCCCAGTCGCCATCCAACGATGTTAGGTGATTGCTGATAATTAATAATAATTAATTTTCTTGATTATATTATGATTATTATATCTTTATTATTTTATGTATATGAAAAAATAAAAATGCCTTATTTTATTATGTGGTGTTTTTTATTAAATCATATTTTTCTTGCTTTCTTAAAAATGCTAGGATTTTAAATACGAGTATATTAGAGAAATAAAAAAATTGGCAATTTTTACTGAAATCGAAATAATAAAGATTAAAAATATACCACTTTTGTAATAAGCGATTTATTCGTACCTGTGCATGTTGAGCCAATTTAATTTTTTTAGATCGCGAAAAACCTTGAAAGGCACATCCTCAAGAGAATTGTAGCTTAGATCCAATGAACGTAGACTGTCCGTAACACCTCTTACAAGAAAAGTATTAAAGGTATTAATCTCCTAATCTCACAGAATATTTTTAAAACTAGTAATATTAATCAATCAAATTTTGCAAATTTTATTCAATATAATCTATTTGGGAAATCAATATAAAACATAATTTTTAAACAGATAATTATTTTATAATAAATTTACTATTTAAAAAATATATAAGTATTTATATATGTGTCTTTCATATTGTATGTACAAGAAATTCAATATAAACTTACAATAAAGATTTTTCGCCTATGCTGGATAATCGGTTGCTCATCAATCCCAAAGCTTCGACACTGGCAAAACTCGCAAGCGCGTCATTATCTAGCACTTGTATTCCGGAGCCAGCAATATCCAGTTGTGCTACATAGTTTACTGATATGTCTAAAATATATTTTTATAAAAATAAGTTTAATCTGTGTTAATTATATTTTAGAATTGTTTTAATTTATGATGTTTATTGATATAAATATAAATATATCATTACATATATTATTATAATAAAATTTTACTATTATTATAAGAAAAAAATTATATAATAATACTAAACATAATAGGAAATAATAATAATAGAAAAATAATATATATTTTTAAGCTGATATAATGGAAAAAATTAAAAATAATATTTATATAATGTACAAAAATATCGATTTTATGTGTACCAGGAAATCGTGCGAATGAAACTCCCATGCAACTGATGTCCATCTTCGTGAAATCATCATCATCATCTTGCACCCAGCACATGCACATGGTATTGAATGTGCAAGGAACATTGTAACAATTTATCACACTGGTCCAAAGTAGAAAGATTAATATTTTTGTAGATCGATTCGCGAACGTCATCTATAAACACATACATAAAAATCAAATTTTTACGCCAGAAATGCAAAAAATATTTATAAAAATATATGTCAATGTGTTTTTAGCTTATGACATTATTTCAAATTTTTGTTTAATTATTAATACTTTTATTATGAAGAGGGTATTTACGGAAGATTAAAAAATTTAAATTAAAAAAAATTTTTTAAATTATCTTTATATTAAATATTTGTTTTAATTCTAGAGATCTATACTCTTGTATAATTAATATATTTTTACACTTTATCAATAACAATGCATAACATTTATTTTATGCACGAAACCTTATTAATATGTTATCGTTTTAGAGAGCTCACGAAGTCATCAATAAAAACCATTTTGACCAGACCTTGCTGAGGATTAAATCCGGGTTACTTCCTGGAGTTCCTTCCCCAGAAGCTAAACGTACGTCAGATTGGCTTCAAAGATGAGACACTCATCTCAAAAGAGCATCTGTATTTTCAGGATACCTTCATTACTTCGTTGTTGATCCTGTTCGAGATCAGGAAGCAAACAAAACGCGTCGAGGACTCAGCTCGTAGACGACTTCTAAAGCGCAGGTGCCAATCTTTGGAGAGCGCAAGCGCATCTCTCTAGAGGAACTTTATGGATCGAATATCGTAGACAAGTATCGTAACAATTCCGACGAAAGCTTCGATATTTTAAACGCATTGAATATTATATACATATATAATTCTTTAAAATAAACAAATTGTAATTTAATTGATAATAAGAGTCTATTCACAGTTTATTATGTAAAGTTGTAAGCTTTGATGATTTTATACATATTGTTGGTATTGCAAAAATTTTTACATATTTATGCGCGCATAAAATTTCACACCTGTAATATATTCGAGACAGAAAGATAAAAGATTTTCTGATAAATATTTATAAATCTTTGGCTAGATGCACACACACAGACATATTGAACTTTCTCTCATTCGTCTTATGCGAAGAAAGCTTTCAGAAGAAATTGGTATTCTCCAAAGGACATATCTATTATAATTGTCTGTCTGTCTGTATGACCGCAAATTCCTTCCGCATTTGTGGACCGATTTGCGTGAAACAGGTACCAAAATGTTGCCAATTTTTCGGGGAGTATGACGATGTTGGTTTTTTAAGTTTTATACCCCCAACCCACGCGCTTACACATTTATTGGCAGATTTTCACGAAATTGGTAACAAAATTTCGTAAATTTTTCGGGGATGGCTACTATGATTTTTAAAAATTTTTACCACCCTATTCGCCCACTCACGCACTCTCTCATTAATGAACTGATTCTCTCGAAATTTTTAAAAAAGTTTTGAAAATTTTTAGAAGAAGACGACGATTGCGATATTTTTAAGTTTTACACCTTCACCCACGCACCCACTCACGCAATTATAAATTTATTGACTGAATGCACTCATCTACGCAAACACACGTTTATTAACCGATTTTTACGCAATCTATGCCAAAATTTTACAAATTTTTCGGGAAAAATAACCGCTGAGATTCAGTATCATTATATCAATCGTTCTAATGACTATATCATACATGTGTTTTTGTTCATCATAAATTAAATTATCGTAAATTAAAAAATTAAAAAAATTGTATGAGAGCTAATAATAGCGGGTTAGCAATGGGTAAATTAGACAAATAATATTTAAGATGTAAACGAATAATAAATAAAATTTAAAAAAGGGTATAATAATTAAATACTAAAAAAAATAATAAAAATGTATAAATCAAACTAACGTTTAAGAGCTAAAAAATATGGAATTGTGTGGAAATTAAAATAAAAAAAATATAAATAAGCAAAAAAATTTTAAATATAAAATATTAAAATTTATTCATTAAATAGGAAAACACTTCAATTTTTCTTATTGCTTGCTTAATAAATTTATATATTATCAACATAATTTGTTGTATTATTTGTGCTAATTATCTTTTGTATCCTTAAATATTGCACTACTTTTATTGCAAAAATAAATGGCTTTGTCGTTTATTAATTAAGTATTAAGAATATATTTCTGCGAAGATGTAATTGCTTTTTTATTATTAGTAATTTATCTAAATACACGTCGTCTTAATTAAAGAGAAATACCAAAAATATATGTTTAAATTAAATTGATTTACAACAATCTATCGGAATTCTTTTTAAATGCTTTGTGTGTCGTTACCAATCTCTCCCCGCTCAAGCATTCTATAAGCGCTGCGATCGTATATATAAGCCCCTGAATATCGATACAGGGTTAGTATAGGAATAATAATCGACACGCTTTATTTTTCTGTGTGTCCGGTCATAAGGAAGAAATTTATTTGTGGCTGAAAATTCAGTTTTAATCGCAAATAAATTCGCAAATATGGTTCGCATTTTTATAGTGCTGGTCGCGATGATTTTTGTGATGATCGATGCACGTTTGACGAGGTAAGTGCATATTGCACTGCATTATATAATATGATAAATATTGAGATTATAGATATGGTTCTTTTTTTCGTAATTGCAACTGATTTTTTGAATTTGAAGCGAAGCTTGTGTGAACGCAATTAACGTTTCAATAACGATTCGTTGAAATTATTTTACAAAAATGTATTTTTATTTATTAGTAAAAAATGAAGACATAAAATGTTATAGAAAAAGTTATTCTTTGTGAATTCGCAAAATTTGTCTGTCTATCTTATAGTTTTGGTCTACATTTTATTGTCGTTTATGTACATGGTATTATACTTCGAGATCAAAACACTTAAGTTATTTTTTCACGTGTAAGGAAATAAACACAATCAGTACCAATGCGTTGTTTTGTACTGTTTGTTTAGTCAGTGTGTTTGCCCTGCGTATATATTTTGCTTTTAGAATATTATTTTATTTGGAGAATATTATTTTATTTATTTTCTTATGCCAGATTTCATGCAATACGTTTTTGTTCTAAAAATCAAAGTCTTTTAAGTTATAATAATTTTATTTTATATATGTATATAATTTTGAGCCATAAAGTAAATATTATTTCAAATATATATAAAATGCATAAAACGCATAAAATATAATCTAAAAAAATCGCGGAGATAATAAATGTTTCTGATATAACTAATGCATAAAATATTTATATTGTGTAAAATATGTAAAATAAAACAGAATGTTCTTTATGTTATTTCAAGGATTTTATTACACAAGATGGATTCTATTCGATTCGCTTTAAAGAAGCTTCACTTTACCAGTGACGTTCCATTATTACCTTCGATTATACACACGTTACCTTTATGTAAATATGTAGATGCTCAATATTATGGTATTATTACTATCGGAACTCCGCCGCAGACATTTAAAGTAGTGTTTGATACTGGTGTCTCAAGTCTTTGGGTATTATCCAAAACGTGCTACGATACAAGAATTGGTTGCTGTAAGTAATTTATTAATATACAGGGTGTCTGATATAAAGTGTCACACCGAAAATATACGAGTAGATCGTATTATTTAGAGACAATTTTCCCTCAGCAAATATTAAAAAATTTTTTTATTTTTAAAATCTCTCTATTGCAATAATTTCTGATATTACTTTCTATTTTTTACAGATATGCGGAAGCTATATGAAAATGGAATATCAGGTAGAAATCCATACTATAAGGAGATTTTAATTCCATATGGCTGTGGCTGGATATATGGATTTATATCTAATGATGTAGTTAATGTAAGTAATCATTAAACAAATAGGCCAATTTAATCAACTACAATCGTAGTTTATTAACATTTTTCAAGTATTTTTATACACTGCCATTCTCGTGATATTTTATCATTAATATTCCAATTTATTTCTAGATTGGCAGTCTTAAGGTTCAAAAGCAAAAATTTGCGGAAGTATACCACGAGCAAAGCAAGTTGTTAAAATTTGCACAATTTGATGGTATTTTGGGCCTAGGTTTTAAAATGACAGACAACAACGAAGTAACATCTGTGTTCCAAAATGCAATGAAACAAGAGCTTGTGTCATTAGAAGTTTTCAGCATTTATATAAATAAGTATGAATTTTCTTTTCATGAATTGCGTATGTCTAAAAATTAATGAAAAATTAGCAATCTGCGCAGAAATCCTTGGACGACAATCGGTGGTGTAATAATATTGGGTGGTGCCGATCGCAGTTATTACGAAGGCGAGCTGACGTATATTCATGCTACTAAGAAAGGATTCTGGGAATTTACTATGAATGAGTGTGTTATTTTCTAAATTATTCTCATAATCATAGTTACAACAAACTGTTAATATTATTATTGTGCTGTAGGGTCGAAGTACATCACCTGGACAATGACAAGATGCGCACTGTTACCATGAGCGCGTTGGGGTACTATGAAGCTGTCGTTGATGCAAGTACCTCATTATTATATGGACCAAGTATGAATATCTCATTTATTAACAAACTTATTGGAGCTAATCCCGTTGGTGGAGAATATAGAGTAAGTAAACAATTATACTTTTCACAATGACATAGCTTTCTGTAGAAAAATTATAAAAAGTTACTAAAATATAAATTGATATTTATGTTGTGAGTTGCTATTTCTTAATTTGATATTCTCTTTTGTTTAAAGATAAGCTGCGGCAAGATAGGCTCTGCTGAAATGCCAGTAATCAGTTTTATTATAAGTGGTAGAGTGTTCAATATTACTAGTTGGGATTATATCTTACAGGTAAATATTATAGATTTTATAATATATTTAAACCTAGAAATTATTGTCGAATCGACGTTGATTTGACAATTATTTCTGGCTAGGAAATTATTTAAATTTAGAAAACTTACATTTTTTGTGTGTGCTTCAATCTATACAGACATCAACTCCTGATCAAACGGTGTGTATAAGCGGTTTTGTATCGTCTAATACTGCTGATACTTGGATTCTAGGTGATATATTTCTTGGCTGTTATTATACTGTGTTTGATTTTAAGCATGACCAAATAGGATTTGCCGAAGCAAAAAGATTGTTGATTCCTAGTATCTAAAATTATATAATAAAACATAGCAAATGATAACTTCGCGATTAATTTAGTAACTTTTTTTAGTTTTTTAATGTATATTAACTAGTCCTTTTTATTTATAGTTTTATGATATATTGTTATAAACGAATTTATTCGTTTTGGAGAATTAAAATATGGATATATATGGAAAATATTTAGTATTAATAATTTGATACATTTTCTTTAAATACACGATCTGTATTGTTATATTTTTGAATACAAATAAATTTTTTAAAATTTATTTTTCATTTTTACACACACACACACACACATATATATATATATATATATATATATATATTAATTATTAATATATATATATATATATATATATAAATTTTAATATATTATATTAATATTATAAGGAAAATGGTCTTTCGAAGATATCTATAATTTTTTAAATAAAATATTTTTCTGTGATATTTTCTAAAATATACATTTTATCCCAGGTAACAAGAGCTGAGGTCAAAGTGACATTTTGATGTTTATGATGTCAGCTTGGTACCTGAGATATGATAAAAATATACATAACACGGATTATTAAGTTTTATACAGTTTTTTGCTAAAAATTGGTATATTAAATATTATTCTACAATTAACATAACAACATAACTGTTCACAGACCATAATGATCATAAGATACTCGTATTTTATAAAAACGATTGACATTATATCAATATAGAAATTCATCGCGCTTATTGAATAACGAAGACGGAACTAAACTGATTTCTTGTCATTATCATCTACGAAGAAGCTAAAAGCTTTCTCTCTCATTTTTTCTCTGATGTGTGAAATATATCATTATATTAACATATGAAACAACAATCCTCCCATAAAACTTATCATAGCATTATCGGTGTTAGAAGTATTATGAATAATTTACTACAATAATATACAGTATATTACTTATATATCAAGTATTTATGAAACTGAATGTTCACATAAAAAATAATTTAATAATTGGCAATGTTAAAATATTATTGATTGATTGATCTGATACAGGTATATTAATTATAAGGTAATAAAAATTATTAATTAAATTATTTATTATTATAAAAAATTATTAAGGTAATAAAAATAAATAACTAAATATATTTAAATTCCAAACAAAAGAGAGGAAGAAAGAGAGAGAAAGAAAGAAATTAAATTAAGGATTGAAAATAAAATCTTAAATTAGTAAACTATATGCATTGCATATAAAAATACAAATGAGAAGTCTAAAAATATCTCTATAAAATATTCGCAATCCAGAGAAGTCGCAATAAAATAAGCAAGAGAGCTGAGAAAACATTCGAGCAGGAATGCACATTGAGCCATCAATGAAACTCGTTTCTCCGCAATTTTATACGAAACGAAATCCGGTACATTCCTGATAAGAGCCTGGACTGCACCTGCCAGATGGATGAAACAAGAATTCTAAGAAAAGAACAAAATACGAACAGTTAAAAGAAAAAGGAGAACGCAATAGAGAGGTGAAGAGAAGGAACACACAAGCTTGTCAAAAAGTGAAAGGTTGTTCGTCTCCTCTATCCCCGCGTGATCTGAATCGTCTGTAAAACCAATGTATCTCTCTCCCTTCCCTTTTGCTCCATCTTCCCTTCTTTCTTTCTTTCTCAAAGAGTGTCTCTCCCCGTTTGATCCAATGCGAACCAACACTCTTCCAGATAAGATGCCGACGACATCATCAACGCCGGCTCGTTGATGCCCCGAGGATGATTTTCATTCAAGACTTCTCTCAGTAACACCGAGACGTTAGCGCGGCAATTTCGATACGCGTTCGATAAAGTGAGTTTTCGTATACGTACGTTGAACTAAGGTCTTGCTCCGTTATCGAAAAAAGAAGTAGGACCACATACAAAATTAATTATTGGTTGTCAAAAGATCAAGTCTCAGGATATGTGACGGAAGCACGATGGCAAGTTTTCCTTAAACTTTGATACCAGTTTAAAAGTGAAATTAAAGTAAAGCAAATTTTGATTGTTCCTTTCAGTGTTATCAGTTATTTCTTAGTAAGGATTTTATAAAAAGAAATAAATAATAGAAACCTAAATTTATAGCAAAATTTTATTTTGTTAATTTAAATTAAAAACTAAAGAAAAAAAAATAGTTTTAATTTTATGAACAATTTTTCCTAAATATTCTCTTTAGCTTATCATATTCTTAGCTAAATAATATTTACAAATTAGAACAAGTTATGTTAACATTGATTTTTCGATATCATCGGCTTAATTATATATAACTTATCTTATATATTTCGAGTGTTGATTATTCAATTATTTGTGTTCTAAACAAGAGCGACGAATGAAGCGAGCGAGAAATGCCAGGGATCTTATTGATTTCGTGATGAATTGTCAAAGTGACTCTGATCTCAATTCTTCGATCACATCCCTCGTAGTCGCAAACAGTGTTTAATAACATGGAAGAGAATATCAGTTGTATGGAGGAAGAATGCCTGATCGAGAAGAGGCGGACTACTATCCTAAAGGAATGTAAGGAAATATTACAAGAAGAAGGATCTGGACGCTACAGCAAAGAAGCCTTTAGAAGACTTTTCCAAGGTCAGGTATGTTGTGTTCTACTTAATTGGAGTAAAAACTAGATATAAACACTGACAGGTATTGTATGATATAATAATAGGTTAATTAAAATTAAATGTATTATGTAAGGTTTTATTCGTTTTGGCAAGTTTTTTTTTTTTGGATATGTTAGAAACGATATTTAAGAGAAAAAAAGACTAAAGAAATAAAATAATTTTTAAAAAGTCGTACAATTTTGTAATGTATAAAAAGGTATAAAATATAAAATATATGTCATTTTTAAAATTTGAGGTTTTTTAAACATCAGTAAATTTTATATACATAAAATATAAATGCAGAAAATGACGATATAAATTTGTGTAGAATGCATAAAAATATTCAATGAAATTGTAACGAATTTTCTGCAATGATCAGAGGCAGAAATGCCGCTTTATTCATAAAATATTTATATACTAATGAGGCTTATGTAATAATTTCAGTGTTTTATATGACAAGGATTAATTTTATGATGACTTTTTTGATCGTTTCGAAATATCTGGATTAAAGTATACATCGTACAAATAAGTAGAACGTGATTTCATAGAAAGAAATCGCAATAACACATAAAATTTTATCATATATAATTTACGAAAAAGCAATATTACGAAATGCAAAAATCATTAAATCGGGAAGCTAATGATTCGCGCGGGATAGCGGATAAATAAAATACGGTCAAGTAATTCGAACCTGTTGATGTATATGGATAATTATAAAAATGATTTTATATGCAGATTTAATGTCTCACGGTTAATTGATTAAACACTCTCGAATAAAACTTCTGTTAAACACAATCGTTTACAGGCAAAACACGAGATACCTTTTATGAAATAAAAAGATAATTGACATTTCTTGTTTGCGTAGATAGGGAAAGTTTTTATATAAAAGCGGATATTACAAAAAGTTAGTTGTATCAACAAGTTACACAGTTTTTTGTCATAGACAAAATAATTATCTTGAACTGAAGTCTAGACTTCAACTTGTGCTTACGATACCGTTCAATACTGCAAGTATAATTTAATGTAATCAACCTTTCAATAAAGTAACACAATTTTACGACAAAAAATTATCTGATGCTTTCTCAAAATGGCCATGAGAAATTGCAATTATTGTAATTATTGGTTCGCACCTGACTTTCTTTTGTGAAGAAAAAGAAGGCTCGCGTGGCACTAGACGTGAAACCTCGATATTACATCACTCGAAGATATTGGCTTGTTCAGTAATTTTAATTCTTTTGAAAAAGTATTTATAAATAGATTTAACAATAAATATTGATTAAAGGTAATTATATAATCAATTAACTAAAATTATATAAAACATATTTAAACTGCGATGAAAAATTGTCGCATATTAAAATAAAACAATAATTGACCTGCTTTATAAGTTACTTTTTCAATAAATGAATAATTTAAGTAAGTTACTTTTTCAATAAATGAATAATTTTCTAGCTTTTAAAAGATGTGGTATATCAATTAATACAAGAATGAGAGATTGATTTAGAGAATGTAATAGAAAAATACATCTCGGATTTACCAGTTTCAATATAATAAGTTTTTATCTTACACGATTATGTCAAGTATTTTGAAATCAAATTCTGAAACATATAATTTTTTAATTTCTCTGTACATATTTTTTTTGTAACATTTGAATAATCTTATAAAAGAAATACAAAACAAGTGCATATTTTTAGTTCCTTACATATGTATTTTTAATTCTAAAAAACCAATTTCTTAGATTGTTATTATAGCACACATACAGACAGGAAAAAAAATAAAGCGAAACTCATCTCAGTTCGATATTCTAGAGGATCGTGATCGCTCAACCAGTCAATCATTTCACACTCCGACATAAAACTCTGTCATTACACGCGTTGATTGTGCAATGTCGCTTGACAAATGCGACGCATGCTTGTCACTTATATAAGGACACGAAATTTTAACGTTGTCGTTTAAGAAGATTTGATGTCTTTATCTATAAAAACATTTGAGAGCGTGGAGACAGATATTGCCTCCTCAAGATTATATCTCTATGCGAAATTGACGTTGCTCCAGATTAAAAGTTAAAACTCATTCAGCACCTCTTTTAATTATAAGAATAAGATCTTGGCCAAATAAGGAAAAGGCTGCAACGTAGACGATAAGATTTCCTTTTCTATCGGGGTTGAAATATTTTCGGCTGAGATTTGCGATCTCTCGAGCCATTTATCGGGACAATTGTCTCCTTTGTAAGAGCGTTAATAATCGGCAATGAGTCCACGCTCGAGAATCCGCATAGGAAAAGGAGACCCGAGGCGGCGCGGTGACGATACGATCGAAGGAAACGAGAGTCTCTATCGAGGGCCCCCCGGTTTTCGATCAAGGTGGCCGATCGCTTCGGGCGCAAGGCCTTGGTGCCCCAAGCGCCTCCAGGTCGCTTGGGACCGATCGATCGATCGTCGAGAGTAGAACATCGGCTGGGGCCGACACCTCGTTTACTAAACCATCCATTAGCTCTTTAATTGCCGTCAAACGCCGCATCAATCGCTGATACGATTATCGATTGTCATTACCGATCGAGGGTCGTTAAATATACCAATTTATATTATTTCGGTAATTTAATATTTTTATTTTTCCCAACGAGAAAATCAAAGGTTCAAAACTTCATTAATTAAAGTTAAAAGCACAGTAAAAAAAGATTTCTTCTTTTGCAATTTTTTTACATATGTAATTCCAGTAGAGCAAATATAGGTATATTATTATAAAAAGTGTTACTGATGATTTAAGTGCAATTAAAACAATTATGTGTAATTAAAGATTATATTTAAAAAACAACATTAGTTTAAAACAAAATTTAGTATATAAAAAGGCCAACTAATCGAGCATTATTAGATGATATAAACTAAGTATTTATTCTATATAAGATAATACAGTACAAACATTTCGACCGCACGCGGTCTTCTTCGGTATAGGAATTAGATACAGTATACGAAACATTAGTTTATATTGTAAAATGTAGCCTACAAATATTTTTTAGGATTATATTATTGAATGCTATTTGTAAAACGTATTTGAAACTTTAATTAGCAATATCGACGTTTCTTCAATCAGGTATTTTCGTTTAAAATTATCTTATAAAAGTGTGATTAGGTTGTCACTATCTATGTAAACCTATGTAATTGCTATGATTGATTATTCATTTTTTTGCTGCTTTTGTAGTATATGCATAAAAGATAGAAATGAAGAATGATTGATTAAATGTACAAGACATTTCTTGTTTTTGCAGTCTCATTCTCCAGTTCTTGCATCGCTTATTTTAGTAACCGGACATAGATTATAGCGCCATATTTGCAATGCAAAATTATATTTTTTGTTTGCATAGCTAGAAAGATGAGGTATTAGAATTATTTCGATGCCGTATTTAATTCAATTCTTTTTTATCTTATTAATAGCAAAGCATTTTTTAAAAATTTTACAAGTACTATTTAATTTGATACAAATATATTAAAATATATTTAGTTCTAAACTCAATTTCTTATTTTTGAACAAATATTTGTCCACAACTCATCAAATCGTCTTTTATATTTAATTTCTATCTATTTCGTAAGTTTTTTTTTTAAGTTAATATAAAATAAAACTCAAATCGCGCGTTCTTCGTGTTTTTAATTAACATTAAAATTAACATTAAATGCTTCTGTAAGAGTAAAATCTATTTTAAATTTAAATGAAAAATGATCAGAGTAAAAAGGATCTGTCACTAAAACTGAATAATGATTCAAGTGCAACCTGCATACATTACATTCACTAACTCACAAGATTGGGACATGTTTCTGGATCTTGGATATGCCGAGGAGGAGTAATCTCTTATGACATTGACCCATTTCTTAACGATCGAGAGTGAAATATACACGTGTATAGCCCCGTCGCCGATATCCGATGGTAATCGATATGTGTCAAATCGATGCAAAAGTTGACGCCGTCAATATATACACACACACCTGAGGCTAGAATTTTAATAAATAGGTTTCCATTATCACACATTATCTTTGTCCCAGATATACATTAAATACGTACAAATATAACAGATACATTTCAAGTAATTTGCATATCAAATATATAATATTTGAAACGATCTGTAATAGATATACAAATTTTCTCATTTAGATAACAAGTATGTGTATGTTCAAGCATTTACAAAACTCTTTTTTTGATAAGTTTAAATTGATTAAAGCTTCAAACCAGACTCTCAAAAATTGCAACATTAATTTTTTTCATTTCTTATAAATATAATATTGAATTAATAAAAAATTTTAATATTAAAACTTTGCATTATGTAATTTATTCTGCATTTATATATTGCATTTATTAATATAATATAATACTATAATTAAATTTTTACATTAATAAAATCGAATTGACAACATGTGTATTACATTTTTAATATTTTATTAGAATATAATGTAAAATATATAATAATAATAATAATAAATTGTTTAATATTTTCCAGATGAATAAATTTACGAAACTTATCGACATTTTTCAGGCACTTCTTCAAAAATTATTTATACTATTCGATCAAGATCGTGATGAGTTACTGAAGCAGGAGGAATGGATCGAATTTCTGAAAGGAAGGCTGACGTAAGAATAATTCTCTATTATTTTCATGAATGATAATTTATATATTTTAGTATATCTCTTAATTCTACGTTATTTTCCTTAATTTAACAGAAACGAGAAGCAAAATTATTTTATCGATCAAATCGAAAGTGTGACATATGTATTATGCGGAGAGAATCCAGTAAATCTTCTCAATTTTCAGCAGATTTTTTATACCAAAGGGGTAAGTCGTTATTTTTATATTTGAAATAAATAGACGTAAAAAATTGAAATTAACGTAACTCGTTTACACAAATAATTATTAAATTGAAATAAGATACTTTATGTTATAATAAAATTATGATTATGCATTATTTAATGAAGGAAATTTTGCATAACTATCTGTACAGATTATTAGAGAATATAACTAAACAAATTAAATAATTAATACAGATTAATACGCAGAAGCAATAAATAATAAAAATTTAACTTAAATTTTTATTAAATAATTATCGTAAAAGAATATTTGTAAAAGAAGAGAAACATAGTTAAGAATGATAATTCTTCAAGAATGGACAGTCAAAGATGCGATTACAGCATGTACGTGCTTTAAAGACGCATGTTCACAGAGATACGTTATTTCTTTAGAGATTAAATGTCATATATACTAACAATAAATCAATAATATTGTCATATATATACAATCTTCTTCGTGTAATTTTGCATATATTTCTTGACAAAGGTGAGCAAAAAAGAAAACTCTCTCTCAATAGTTGCTTCAGAAGAGAAACTGTTAAATGACAAATGTGCTTAAGCTACAAGTGTGCCGTCTGTCAACTCTTCAATTTTTTGAGAAGCGAACTCAAGACGCAACGCAAAAGTTTTGTCAAATACATGTTATATTTGATTTAAAAGTGCCTTTCACGTGTTATAGATCGTGGATAAACTGTTCCGTTTAATCGATCAAGAGAACTCAGGATTAGGATACGTAACGTCAGCCCAAATCATGGAGTTTATATCTAGCGTGAGTAATACCAGGTAATATGCTAAAATAGAAATTTATCCTTGCTTTTTCAATATTGAGCATTTTTTTTCTTAATTTTAATTATTGTGTATTAATCGATTAAATGCTTTTTGTCAGACCACGTGCTGGCTTCGATAAAAAAAATCTCGAATGGCTCGAAATGATATTTAAGCATACTGTTGGGAATGAGAGGGAAATTCGGCGTGAAGAATTCAACACAATTGTCACTTCGAAGAACGTAGGCAGGAAGCATAAGTATTCTTTATTTCAAACACGCTGAGATTTTTATAATTTCAATTTTGGTTTTTTGAAACATCCTAATTGCGTTCTATCTTTTTTCAGTGTTATGTTTATTTATATTATTTGTTCTATATTTATATAATACGTTATACAAGTAAGATTCATACAACAATTGCATAAAATTTTGTATTAAAATGAGATGGCGTATTAATTTTATTTATTGGGAGAAGTATAAATCAAATAATATAGATTTTAATTAATTTTTAGCCATTCTTTAGGGAGAGAGTTTTTCAAATATTTGACAGAGACAATTCTGGCACGATATCACTTCAAGAATTTCTGGATGCTATGCATCAATTCGCTGGAAAGTCTCCGGATGATAAAATCAAGTTTCTCTTCAAAGTTTATGATATCGATGGTAATATTTATAATTATGAGTTATTTATTCACGCAAAATATTTATAAGACTTAACGTCAAAAGACTTGCAGCATAATCGGAAAAATAATTTCTTTATTTTAGATATTTTTACCTGTATGTAAATTGTTTTCGTTATTTCACATTTTTTTTTAATTAATAAAAGGTGATGGATTGATACAACTTCGTGAGCTGGAACATGTAATGAGAGCTTGTATGGAAGAGAATGGGATGAAATTTAGCGACGAGCAAATAGAAGATCTAACAATTGCATTATTTGAGGATGCTGATCAGGACAACAAAGGAGCGCTTACTTTCGAAGCTCTAAAAAGGCAGTTAGAGAAGCATGAAGGCCTGCTGGAAAATCTCTCGATCAGGTTAGATAAAGAAATACGAAACAAATAAATTATATACATTTATAATTAAATTACAAATTTATAAAAAATGTTTTAAAATAAATAAAGAGAATTTTAAGGGGGATTTATTCAGATTTTTATTTTTATTTAATTTTATTTTATGAAATTTATTATTAATTATAAAGATGTTTGAATTATTATAATAAACTTTGAATTGTTACATTTTTGAAGCAAGTATTAAACATAAAAATAATCGCAGCATAGATCGATGGTTAGTACCACCGCAACCGAAACCAAAACAAAGCTCCATTTGGGAACGTTTTCGTCTCTTCGTCCGTATCAACTCACAAAACCATACATGAAGAACAATTACGTCTATATCGCTTTTATTTCGATATTCATCCTTATCAATGTAGCTCTGTTTATTTCTCGTCTTTATGAGTATCGGAATTATAATGGTTATGTAATGATCGCACGTGCATGTGGTAAGAAAAATATACACAGATATAGTACATAAAAATATAAAGTTTATTTGTTTTAGATATTTTAATATATATTTACATTTTATTTTAACAATTTATTTATAGACACCAATTAAAAAAAATATTAACTATTTAATACTGAATTAAATTTCGATTTATTAAATTAAATGTCGATTTTCTCAAAGGAAGAATAGTGCAAAAGATTTAGAATAAAACTGATTTTACAAAATTACATTTTAGGACAATGTTTGAACTTTGATTGCACATTTATCTTGGTCCTGATGCTGCGGCAGTGCATCACATTTTTGCGAACACACGGCTTTAACTCCGTATTGCCTTTAGATCATCACATATATCTTCATAAGATGACGGGGATATTGATTGGAATCTTCAGTATTGTACACACTCTGATGCATCTTATTTACTGCGGTATATTTATTATAGATTTTTATTTTTTAGATATATAATATATTATGTATGATCTAAATCTCTTGAAAAATAAAAAAATACTTTTTCTCAAGAAAGAAACTAAGATCACGATCTTATTTTATATTTAATTATAATAAAATTATTACTATTAACGATTATATCTAATTATGTTTGATCCATAGGTACGGTAATCATAAACGACGAGAAAATGAATAGCGGGAATTATACGATGTCTGAATGGTTGTTGACGAGTCGACCTGGATATTTTGGTTTGGTAGCAGGCAGTGCATACCCGACTGGAGTAGTTTTGTTTATTATACTTATTATTATGACAATTTGTTCCATGGCATTTGTACGGCGCGGAGGCTGTTTTGAGGTATCATTATATTAATTATAATTTTTTAATCAAAAATTTTAATTTGTCCGGTCGAATATAATATATATAATATATTTTTCTGTCTTTTATAATAATTCCGTATTTTTTATTTATTTTAATACAGATATTTTATTGGTCTCATCTGTTGTACATACCATTCTGGATTTTAATAATCTTTCATGGCCCAAATTTCTGGAAATGGTTCGTCGGTCCGGGCGTGATATACTTAGTGGAGAAAATTCGTCGATTAATATGGTTACGTTCGCAGCGTGGCAAGACGTATATAAGCTCCGGCCTCTTGTTACCTTCTAAAGTAACTCACTTGGTCATCAAGAGACCACCTCATTTTCACTTTCATCCTGGTGATTATGTATTTGTTAGTATTCCGGTGATAGCAAGATATGAGTGGCATCCTTTTACTATTAGCAGCGCTCCGGAACAGGAAGGTGAGTTATGGTTTGCAATTTTATATAAATTATTATAAGAGAGTTTATATTATAAGAGAGATAATTTTTCTAAAATAATATTATTGATGAAATAATTAAATACAAATTGTATGATTTTCTTGATATATTTGATTCTATAATTGTGTGCAATTTTTTCTTTCGTTTGTTTTATTTTAGCATTTGTATTTAAATTGTATTACTTGAAATATAAAAAATATTATGCGCTTTATTGCTATACATTTATATATATATACAATATATATATATATATATTATACATAATATATATATATATATATATATATATATATATATATATATATATCAGGGAGAATTTAATATCGATAATATTTTTATACAGATTATATGTGGCTGCACATTCGCGCAGTCGGTGAATGGACCAACAGTTTGTATTCGTACTTTGAAAAAGAACAAATAAAGCTGCATCGTGGCGATATCTTACATTGCAATAATGCGAATACTCCCCAAAAGAAATCGTAAGTTTGCTGATTTAAAAATACTTATGCTAAGATTTCACACAGAAATAATATTTGTGCATAAAATTTATACTTAATACAAAGTAATTATTCCTAATAATTAAGTTGCCACTTATTAATGAGTAATTGATTTCCCTATGTGATATAAGTTTATATCTTTCATGATATAGATTTCTTAGTAGCAAAAAGCTACCACTTATTACGCGACAGAGACCTTCAACAGAAACGATAGCTTATACTCATGATAATCCTGCGTTTGTATCTGATGTATCGAAGACCATTTTGCATACACCTAATACTGAATCTTCATATTTAAAAACCCCAGAAAGTAAGATTCATATACATATTTGAGTAATGATAAACTATTTTATTATATATTATTTTATTTTATATTATTATGTATATTGTTTTTAAGAAAACAATAATAATATAAATATTATATTAATCATGTTTATAAAAATAAGTTTATATAATAAATATATATATATATATATATATATATTTGCGCTTCAGTTAATATTAAATTACATATAAATTTAATTAATATAGATACACCGGAATCAAATAAGGGATGGACGGATATGTCTGCGAGAAGAGACAGAAGACTCCATCGATTACTTTTTGATAGCAAAATGCCTCTTGAAAAATCATATTCGATGCCCGATATGCAAACAAGGAGTAAGAAAAAAGAACGACTTAGGGCGTGAGTAGATTTATAATATGTAAAAAATTTACTCGTCTTTGAAAAAGTATCTCCTCATTTTTTTATCATTATTTTATCTATACATATTTTTAGAAAATTAATCGTCGTGATAAAATTAATATCATATTAATATTGTTGCAACACTTATAATGATCTCTAAAATATATATTAATCTCTTAAAGCATATTGTATATATGTATATGTATATGATGTATGATATTTATCTAGACTTCGTGATTACACGAGATCAGAATCGGAGAGAAGTTTTGATGAGTGTCAAATGAGACGTGCTCGGCTGAAATCATTGGGTTTAGCTTATTTGAGCCCGCAGAATAAATCATTGGCTCAAAGCTTCCGGTACATGCGGACGAAACCAACTATCATCGCTTTCAAAACACCCAGTCTTGAATCGTGCGAATTCGATGCATCATCAAACGCTGGTAAGATGTGGAATAAAACATAATAATGCTTATTTAAAGGTACCTACGTATTTTTGAAGATACAAAACATAATATAATACAATGACAATATTTTATGATTAGTACATCCCACACGCAAAGCGAATAAAAATGCATAAAAAATATATTAATTATGTAACGCATAAAAATTCAATATTTAAATCTTTAACAGAAAATACTAACGAATAAAATTTTCTACAAGAATCTTTTGATTAAATATCTATGCTTTCATTAGACTCGCGCGAGATTCCATACCCCATATCTCCGTTACGCTGCGCGGTTCGCGCGAAACTGATTCTCATGCGAGGTATCGCGAGCGCGAAGCCGAGATCACGTGACCAGGGGACCCACTGGTCATGTGACCACTAGTCATGTGACCACTGGTCATGTGACCATCGGTCCCGCGCTCATGATACTCCGCACGAAAATCAGTTTCGCGCGAGCCGCGCAGCGTAATAGATGTGTGGGGTTTAGTCTTGCGCGAGTCTAATAAAAGCGTAGATATTTGTCACGAAAGATTCTTATAAAAAATTTTATTTTTTTGTTTGTATTTTCTGTTAAAGATTTAAATATTGAATTTTTATGCGTTGCATAATTAATTTATTTTTTATACGTTGATTGCAATAATAATTTTTGCATGCATGCGTTGCATGCATTACAATAATAATTTTATACATGCGTTACAATTTTTAAGGTTTTATTATCAAAGAATAATATAACTTCGCTTTGCGCACGTAATTATATTCGATTAAACTGAATAAAATATATACTACAATAAGAACTAAGAAAAAAATATATAAAGAGATATATACATATATACAAAATAGTTCTCAAACAATGCAATAGAAATTCGGCAAATTAAAATTATGTACATACATAATAGAAATTCAATAAATTAAAATTATATATACATAATGAAAATTCGAGAATTAAAAGTATGTACTTAATCGAAATTCGGTGAATTAAAATTATGGTTATAGCATCAAGCAACTGTCTTTGCAAAAATTAACAACTTGACAGTTGTAAAATAAACAATAGAAATGATATCGAAGGAGCGCACAAAGCGCGCGCTTGTGTTGTCTAATATTGTATTACAAAAAACAAATATACAGAATGTCTTTTGTGTGCTGACGCATATAAATTTTTATATCTGCTAACACATCGTTATTATAAAAATGATTTTAAATACAAATTTATATATATATAATATATTTATATTTTTATTTATTACATGTGTGTTTATACAGCATCAAATGCGAATGCGAGTGGAATTGAAATGACACCTACCACACCTACAGTGACTATGCAGATTGCGGCAGAAGAGGGAAGATTGAGAAAAGCTTTTAACGAAGCTGCAGATAGTTCAGAGAGTTTGGATTTGAAATCCGAAAGTTCTTCTCACACATCCATAAATTATCCCGTAGGGAAACCATTGGAGGTAAAGATCTTTCTCTAATTTTTTATACAAGCTTTACGCAACATTTTCATTGATTTTATAATTTTTAATTAATAATTATAAATTATTTCGTAACCATAACGTTTCGTCATTTTAGATCTTTTTGGATGGTCCCTACGGGACACCGTCGAGCCACATCTTTCGTGCGCAACACGCTGTTTTAATCGGCACAGGAATCGGAGTTACACCCTTCGCCTCCATACTACAATCAATTATGCATCGATACTGGAAAGCGAGGCATACTTGTCCAAAGTGTTCATTTTCTTGGGCCAGTGAAATTCCGCCCACTGTAATGAATTTACGAAAGGTGAATACTTATATTTCAATTTTCGCATTCTCGTTTTATAAATCTTGGAATAAAAAATAAATCTTGAAATTATGTATATATTACTATAGAATTATATTATTAAATATATCAGATAAAGAGATAATTATTTAATCATACTTATATATTTTTTCATTGATTCATTCATATTCTTGTATATTATTTAAGTTTTTAAATTTAAGAAAATATTCTATAGGTTGACTTCTTTTGGATCAATCGTGATCAACGTTCGTTTGAATGGTTCGTTAACTTGTTGTCGCAACTTGAGATGGAACAGGCTGAGTTAGGTATTACCATGGAACGCTTTTTGGAGATGCACATGTACATTACAAGTGCATTGCAAAAGAACGATATGAAAGCAGTCGGTTTGCAATTAGCACTAGATCTCCTGCATGAAAAGGTCAGAGAATATTATAATTATTTCGAGAGTTTATAAAGAATTTTATAAAGAATTTAGCATATTTAAAAATATGATAAAATTTGATTAATTTTAATTTAATTGATTTTAATTACCATTATTAATTTTTTATTATTATTTGATTAGGAGAAACGAGACCTTATCACAGGTTTAAAAACCCGAACAAATGCTGGTCGTCCAAATTGGGATAAGGTTTTCAAGCAGCTGCAGGATAAGAAGAAGGGAAAAATTACAGTTTTTTATTGCGGACCGCCACAGCTTGCTAGAATTCTTCGGTACAAATGCGATCAGTTTGGATTTTGCTTTAGAAAGGAATCTTTCTGATACCTCGGAGGAAAAGATATTTGATAATTATTGAATTACAAGATATATGAAAAATGTTAATAACAATGGTTTATTTGTTATACACTTTTTGTACTATTTTCACGAATTATAATTATGTATAATAATTATATTATAATAAATTATTTTTCGTGATTTTAATATATATATATACTCACGAATAATTTTTCGGTCGCATTTTGTAATTAATTATAGTTTTTATGTAGTCAAAAAAATAATTTCGGCTATTATTAATTTTCTTTTCTAATTTTTATATATCAATGTTCTTCATTATTCTAGCTGTTTCATGCAAAATCCAAATAGTTATCAAAATGAATAGAAAATGCATCTGTCGTTCTGTCATAATTTAATAAAATTAATTTTCTGTTATATTCTCTCGTCAGAGCAGATCATCGAGAAAAAAATGATCGATTTTTCTGTTTATATTATTTTATCATATTATTATAAACTGTAAATAAAATTATATTAATTCATAAGGTTATTAAACATTTGACTGAAGTTTCAGACAAATTTTTACATTTAGATTAGTTACCAATTTCGTGCTTTATTGAAAATGAAATATCGATTTGATATACATAAGTGTAAGAAATGTAAGGAGAATAAAGAAGAGAGGTAAATTAAACATTCTAAAAGAAATAGATTGCTAGAAAAATATTTTTATGTAATAAACATCAAATTATTGTTTATTCTCTTATTATTTTATTGTTTATATATTTTTTTTATTATAAATACGGCATCTCAATAAATAGAATTACGAAACATTACAATTCATAAAAGGTACAATTTCTCGTAATAACATTGACTAGATTTGTTCCTCTCCATAATATCTCATATTATCATATTTTGATCTCCTTCGTCAAATATATAAGTTATAAATTATAATCTCTTTCCTCTAGCAAATTTATTCACCGGTAATCGAACAGTAATGTATAAGTAAATATATTTGTGCAAATCAGTAGAGTCAATGCGTATTCAAAAATCATTACTCATCAACATAGATGTCTGATTGCAGTACGTTATATTGAATTCGCAAGGATGTTGGTACCAAGGCTCACCGTCCACTTGCATGGCGCATGATCGTAACAATTTTATCTGAATAATAATAACATTTATTACAATGTATAATTAATATAATAGTAATTAAAATTAATAAATTAATTTATTTAATAATTAATTAATATAATAATTATTAATAAATTAATTAAAATAATAAATAAATTAATAAAGTAATTAATTTATTTATTAATAAGTAATTAATTTATTAATAAATTAATTATACATATGTATAGATGAGAAAAAATTTTTAAAAAATTGCTAAAACTCTAAAGATACCTTCACCCTACTAGCTTGACCGATCCTATACGGTTTTGAGAGACCGATTTGCAGCTGAGCCATGTGGAATGAAGAATAAAGAGCCACTACCTCCAGCTTACCGTCGTTAATACTTTGTACTCCTGAATTTTCGTCATCTGTTAAACAACATATATAATAATAGTTTTACTAAGATGTTTCTATTTGAGTTTTTGTCTTTATATCGAGTATTATATTATATAACCTTCTAGTCCCATTTTCCATAGATCAACACCAGCAGCCCAAGATGGAATGTTAAGTATCACTACGCTTTCAATGGAGGGTAATTCTACTTTCTTATCGTCCAAGTAGACCTCCAAACTTTTATCGAGATCCTTGCACTCCCTTTCTACGACTTGTTGCGTGCCGAAGCATAAGTACAACAACTGTAACAGATAAGAATTGCTTCATTCAACTTACACGGATAAACAAGAGATCTATTTATTTGACGAAGAAATTACTTTGTTAAATATCCTATTACTGAAGAAATAAAATCGGCTCTCCCTTGTGCGATGAAAATTCAAAGTAACTTGTGCGTCGACGCCCACGCTTATGTAATTGTACATAAATAAGGTTTGATGCGAACCTCTGAATTTTAGCCCGCCGTATGGTTTTATCATCACAGACCACCTAAACTCTCACAAGCTTGATGTACATCTAATTAATCGATAATGTAAAAAAGCGCGTATATTTTACTTTCTTTTCATGTACATACCTATCAAGCATCATTTTCTCCGCTGTTTGGACCTTCTTCAGGACTTCTAGGGGATCCAAATTCGAATCGTGTTGTTTTCCCCATCCTAATACTCTAGATAAATCGTTGCCTGTCCCCAAAGGAATTATTGCTACAGACGGAATAGGCTGTGTCATATAAAAATAATATAAAATATAAAAATATTTGCTTGTACTTGTATTTAAATAAATGCAAATATGTGAATTATATTAAAAAGAAGAAAGAATTTATATATACCTTCAAATCGAGTTTGTAAATAGAATTTAGTAACCATGCAATGGTTCCATCGCCACCGGCTACAAGTATAGTAGATGGAGTTTTTCCTAATAAACGACACCATTCAAGAGCAGCGACCGGATCACGGTCAGCTAAATCCACGATTTGCGCGGGGTTTAACAATCTTCTGAAGAGAGATAAAATTTTGCCACCATCGTTGTTTCCAGATTTTCGATTTCCTGCAAAAGAAAAGACATCATGAGAATACGTATATTTGTATATATCTTGAGTAATTTTTATTTTTATTTTTTATTTTATTCTCTTTTTATTTACCTACAACGATGAGTGGATTCCACTCACACCAATTTGGTGGTATAACAGAACGAAGATGTAATCTGCGTCTCATTGTGCTACGTCGATTTATCACTTCCAAACTTCCTGGCGGAATAATCATTAATTTGAACTTTCCGAAATCACAAATCTGAAAAGCAAATCTTTCTCAATTTGTTTTACCTTTTTCGCGATGAACAATACGAAAAGCATCATTGCTGCGTGCATGAAATGCTGTTATTATAAGATTGCTATTTTTTATTATTAAGATCAAGAAACTCTGACAAAAAAATTGTTTAATTATTTGATGAAGAATCATTGTAAATGACTTGTGTAATGCAATTAATGCAATGATTTTTGACATGTACGATGTAAAAATTCTCGGTGAGTCAGTGATTTCTTTAATAGCGATAGAAATAAAAAAAACGTATCGATAAAAAATAAATCGGAAAAATATCATTAATTATTACTTCGGAGAGGGCAGATTTACACGCTTCGTGAACACATCTCTGACACCAACAACACCACCAATCCGTGAGGCCGGGCTCTATGTCGCACTCCTCTTCGCAGATATAGCACGTAGCAACAAGTGGTAAATTACCTTCAAAAATACATCAAAACATATATTTAAAGAGCGAAATATATTTAAAAAAACACGTGTATTCGTCACATGTTAGTAAACAATAACACACCTTTGACCCAATGATGCTTCATCGGTTGATCATTATTAAAAGTTATCGCTTTGCATTTTAGCTGTTTATCGGCAAGCTTTATGCAACCTCGATCCGCACACACACCACAAGAATCACAAAAAAGGCCATCAACATTCAACAATAGAGCCTCGCAAATACTACAGTAATACGCCTGTATCGAAATGTAATATCAAAAATAATTCTCTATATATTTCTTTCATTGAATCTATTATTGCTTTAATTTTATGTGTTAAATATGTCTGATTCTTTTCATGATACAAAGACTACTATTTTTATCATGCTTTAATTAATATTTTGTAGATTAAATAAATATTCTAATTCATACGACACACAAGAAATCATGTGTGAGTCTGTGTGTGCAATGGTGTAGAAAACTTATTATTATAAAAACTATTATGTCAATTTAGCAAGTAGAAAAAATATTGTACACTATAATTTAAAATAATCATATTTAAATTTGCATTGAAATTCGGAAATATTGGAAATATTAGATATATGGATATTTTAATTTATTGTTATATAAAAAACTATCAAAATAATTTCAAAAATTTTTGTACGTACTTTAGTTGTTCCTCTAATTAACTTCCAATTATGTTCCTTTGTAACATCTCTAATCTGAATATGAGAATTACTTAGGAGGTATCGGAAGAAATTGATCGTGAATACAAGGAAAATCATGGTAGACAATGTAGGTAGAACAATAAGATTCAGATCTTCGTTCCACATGTTGAAAAATTTGTTTTGTAGTATTTAAAAAATGATCTGAAAATAATGTAAAATATTAAACACCAATTTTATTTTTCTTCTTATAAAAAAATACTCTTATCCTACAAAAAAAGATTTAAAAACTTATATTACCTAAATATATCTAATATTTTTAATAATACGCTCTTAACATAACAAAACTAATATGTAGAATGGAATAAATAATAATTTACTCCAATATATTTTATTTATATAAGATTTTTGCAAATTATGAAAATTATTTATAAATATTTATAAATATTTTTTATAAACAATTAAATCAGTTATTACAAAAAGTAGCATAAATCAGGATGCCAATTTATAAGAAATTATAAAAAAATTATTTTCGTTATTTCTCTTAATTTTACTATAATATATCATTATATTAATATTTATTATTTTATTTACATATAGGAATTTTGAATAATTACTTTTTGATTGAAAAATATTTTTCTTTATAGGTTAATCTTATTTTTTAAACATGATTTGTGTTTCATGTCCTTCTCAAAGCAATTGCTAATAAAAATGGATCGATAGCTCTGTAATGAGTATGATGCGACTGATATTTATATGTATGCGTCAAGAGGCATCACGTGAATGTGCTAATTCACATTTATAAAAATGATTCATAATCTTTTCGTAAAAACTGATTTGATCCTGCAATATATAAGGTGTGATGATAAATCACTTGTAAGGTAAATTTAATTGCTACTTACGTTATGTGTGACAAACGTGAGGTACCTTTTTCAAGTCATTTGTTTATTATACAAATGTATAACCGTACATGTGTATTATTTGATATCCTGTCAACTACAGCTGTTTACCAAGATGTTTCTATCAAGATTGCTGGTCATGATTCCTAGGAACATTTCGATTTTTCTCGATTAATCGAAGTTCGATATATTCGCTTTAATTGAAAAATGAACTTCGATGTTACTACATTTTAATTACATCTATGCAAAATTCAGAGAAAAGTTTAGATCATTATATCGTGGAATAAATTTTTTTCTATTTTATAAATATATAAAATATTAGAGAAAACGCCTATATTATATAGCAACTACCGGTTCATTTAAGAACATATTGTGTTCTAATTTAATAAAGAAACCTGATGTTTTTCCGTAAAATTTAATAAAAGTCTTTGAATGTTAAAGCGAAAATATTGCTAGAACGATTGCTATATGATTAAGAAATTTTAGGGTTCTATAAATCATACAAGTAGATGCATTTACACTGTATGTTTTCATTTCCTCTCAGTATTACTACTAGTACAGAAAATCTATAGTATATGTAACGTAAACTATAGATTTCTAGTAACACTAGTATTGAAAGGAAATGGGAACACACCCACAATCTAGTGTAGTGAAAGGTTACCAAGCTTTCAGTACTGTCATCTACATCCATTTTATAAGCACATAGCTACATTCATTTTTCCATACTGCTGGTAAAATCACTTTTCATTTGTTTTAATAAATTCTAAAACATATAAATACACGTCTTATAAATATATATATATAGATTAGTTATGGACAATGCTCTTCCAAAGAGTTCGGATAATGGAAATAATTAAAAAAATGTGTAAACAATTATGTATATAAATTATGTGTATATAGAAATTCGGCAAATAAAATTATGTATAATAGAAGATTTGCGAATTAAAATTATGTACATAATAGAAGTTCAACAAATTAAAATTATGGACATAATAGAAATTCGGTGAATTAAAATTATGTACATAACAGAAATCCGATGAATTAAAATTATGTTCATAGTAAAAATTTGATGAATTAAAATTATATACTTAGTAGAAATTTAGTAAATTAAAATTATATACAGAATAGAAATTCGGCGAATTAAAATTATGTACATATACTCGAGACGTTTCATCATAATATAATATAATATTAATATTAAGTCATATTACATAATATAATATTAAGTCTACAGCGATACTGCTGGTAATAAAGCAAAACTGCTTACAAGGCCAAATAAAATATTATACATCTATCCCTTATTGTCGCTTCACAAGTATGATCTCGAAAAAATTACGAGATCGCACTATTACGCAAAGAGGTAGGAGTTTTGGGTACTTGGTTTCCCTTTCAGGATAATCTTTTATGATAAATCATAAAGGATTGTCAAAGCGTTTCTTATATTTGTTTCGATACTACATATTGTCTGTAAATTATTTTTACATCAAGAATATATCAATTCTTTAGTTTAATATACATAATAAAGATCTGCGCAGTATAATATAGATTGCCGAGCTAAATGTCGATTTATACTACTTTGAAATCAGCCATAAATATTTTTTAAAAATATTTCGATAGTATATTGTCTGCAGATTAATTTTACATCAAGATCCATGAAGATATCAGCGCACAAATTCTTGTATTTAATATATACATAATAAAAGTATGTGCCGTATAGAGTCCTATTAAATTATTAATTCTTTGAACAGACACATTTTTTCGAAAAATTAATTTTCTTTTATTAATTTTAATTTATTCGCTCAATGATCAGATTTCACCATCAAAAAGATCTTAATCTCGTATATGATAGTATTTGAACATTTTTCCGTTTTTAAATAGAAAAAAAAAAGAGTCAGACAATTACGTCTCCACGAGATGACACGTAATCATGATAGGCTTACAATTATAGATTCGTTTTTATCACGCACCTCTACGTCGATTTTTCGCGCGGAATTAGGTATTGTCATCTGTATAAAATTATATAAGATTATTATCGAACTGCGTTCGATTTATGAATGAACGATCGTTTGTGCGTGCGGAAGGATGCGGAGAGTGAGATAGGTTGCGGTTACTACTGACAGGTACGCAAAGCGTGTTCAGTCACGTAAGGCCGGCGTCCCATGGAGCGGATTACGCGGAAGCGGAACCAGCGGATCGCCAATCACAAAATCGTTCCGATGGAGCTCATCGATAAGTTCTATCGGAACGATTCCGTGATTAGCGATCCGCTGGTTCCGCTTCCGCATAATTCGCTCCATGGGACGCCGGTCTAAGTAAGAACGCGCGCGATCGTGCCGCGCGGAATGCCAGTCACGTGCGCGAATCAGCTGTTCATCGTTGCGCGTGACTTGTAAATCCGCGCGCCTTCTTTCACCCGTGCATCACTAATAGAAATATCTCCGATAAAAGAAACGAATTAAAATGCCGAAGATCGCAGAAAATATGAAAGCCGAAAATACCGCGCGATAACGTTATCTTGACATTGCATAATGCATATGTAATATTTTCGGTTTTTTATTTTAAAAAAATTTTAATATAATTTTAAACAATTTAAATATAATTTAATAGAACATATTTGCAGTAATTAGATTTCTATATTAAATTTTTTAACATGGTGTTCAATATACATTTATACAATTATTTGTATAGCAAAATTAGATTTTTGTATTTTCATAATATTTGAGACCGAAGTCCTGAAAATTTGTTTTATTAAATATTTTATTTCTTTATTAAAAAATTAATATTTCTTTATTATTAAGTTGGCTTTTCTTAATCAAAGAAGCGGGCGCATTACAAACGTGAGAGAGGATTTTTATTTCCTAATATTTACTCTTTAATTTTAAAGTAGAAGACCAAATTTTACGTATCACTATTTCTAGTATTAATCAAGAAATTATTTCTTATAATCAATTATTTGAACAGTGTCATATAAAACTTTGCGTAGCTTGAGAAGTGCACTGTTCGCTACTGCCCTCTTGAAATATTACAGCTAGACTGTTGCGAAACAGTCAGATAAAACAAGTATGCATGATAACAGAAGAAATATAAGTTACATGTATGTATATTTATCCAAAAATTATTTTATCGCACTATTTAATTGCACTAGACATTATCATTTTACCTAGTTTTCTAAATAATTATCAATTAATTAATTTTTTTGGAATATAATGTGGATTTGTTTCTACTATAATAGTACAATATAATTATCTTCTAATAAATTTAATAATATGTATTGAAATTGTGTATTTTTCCCAATTTATATTACATAAGTGTTTGTATAATTTATACATAAGGTACAACAATAATCGGAGCATTAATTCTATTCATTTATAATATACAATTATATACATATCCAAAATATCTCTAAAACATCTCGATTACGCTTAGGAACAATTTATTATTAAAGTTTTTCTCTGTCATTCTATTGCCGATGTAAAACATGATAAAGATGTAGCATTAAATATAATTTGTTTTTAATTAAACCATTCACTTTAAAGAGAGCTGTGTACTAAAAATATTGAAAATGGATTTACAATATACGCGCATGTATTCTGTTATGTAGACACGTATGCCATAAAAAAATTTATTAAAAAAAATTAATGGTATTAATCGAATGAAGAAATATTAATTAAACAAAATGACAATAAAATATCTTTAGAGTTAATACAATCAAATATTTTTTGCAAAATATGATATTTTGGAGTATTGTTCAATTTTGGAGTAATTCTGCGATGACTGAATCAATTAATTAACAAGGGAAAGGAGTTCTTCTTTATCGCGTATTAAATAATTCTCTCCTCGACCTCGTTGGCATATTTTATCATAGCGAGATGGCGCCTCGACGACGATTAGAAGATCTCGTCGACTCATCATCATCATCATCATTATCATCATCATCATCATCATCATCATCATCATCATCATCATCATCATCATCATCATCATCATCATCATCATCATCATCATCATCATCATCATCATCATCATCATCATCATCATCATCATCATCATCATCATCATCATCATCATTATCATCATCATCATCATTATCATGATCCATAAGTCACTTCCCGCGCTTACACCGTCATTCGCCTCTCGCTACCGTTGACCTCCCGATCCCGATCGGTCGGGGCTACTGACTCGGTTGAAGGAAGCGCTTACCTCACTGTCGAAAATGACGGCTGCAAATTGGGCACGGTCGTGTACCGCTTTCATCGTTGACTCTTTCCTATAAGTCAGCCAGCCCGACGTCGGCAAATGCGATCGTGAGGTCGCGAAGCGGGTGAACGGGTTGACGTGACGTGCATCCGAGCGTGCGAGACTTACAAGATTGATCTATCATTGTCTTGTCTGGCCGCCGTCTGGACGGTTGATTGCCATCGGGGCAAATATTATTATCTTCCCAGAATTCCCGCGGCCGATTACAGATTTCGAATCGTCTCGCGCCACAGCTACTTTGTAGAATATCGGAGAATCCAAGGAAACCAGAGATATCGGCGTACTCGTTTTGCGTACAACTTCGCACAAATTATAAAGTTGAGAATTTTTTAAATCAAGGACTATGCTTGGAAAAATGAGAAGCAATTGAACATTTAAAAAAATGAAAGATAAGAAAATATTGCAATAGTAAGATTTATTATAAAACTAAATTTCTTTCACAATAAAAGATATTTTTTCAATAGATTATCGTATATGTTTATTATTATATTATAAACAGAAGAATAGAAAATAATTCAGTAATATTGATATGTTGACACTGCTTAGCCATAACTGATGAACTCATGACTTTACAAGACAATTCTTATTCTATTTGATAACGCAATATAATGTTCTATAATAGATATCTTAATAGTAGTCATCAAATTTTGCTTTTATTATTTCATTATTGTATACATTGATAAAAGAAAATTATTTATAGACTTTTTCTGCAAGTAGAATAACTATGTAATGAAGCTTCGTATTTTTTTATTGAAATAATGGAAAGAATTTTAATAAACATTAAAGTTGTATATGTCCAAAAATGATTTCTGAATCTTAAGGTGTCTCAAGTTTTGCTCACTATTTCTTAAAACTTAATAACATGTGAGCATCTTAT